GTGGAATTTGACACAACATTGTGAAATGACTATAAATCATAATAAAAACTCAGTGGAAGACATTAAAAACAAACTCATGGTTACCAGAGGGGAAAGAGAGTGGGAAGGGATAAATTGGGAGTTCAAGATTTGCAGGTACTACTATACGTAAAATAGATAACCAACAAGTTTCTACTGTATAGCACAGGGAACTATATTCAGTAACATGTATAGTAACCTACAATGAAAAAGAATATGAAATGGAATATATATATATGTACATGTATGACTGAAACATGATGCTGTACACCAGAAATTGGCGCAACATTGTAAACTGACTATACTCAATTGAAAAAAACCTCGGTGAAAAATCTCATACTTGCTAAATATAGATAAAATTCTCATGAATTTCACAGGTGTGAATTATGTTCATGTTAATAACATCTTGATAACAGTCAAACTGATTGTCATTTACTGGTAAATCAAATGACACCTGTAAACAAAAGCTTGAAACACCAGTAGTAGCCAATGTACCTCCCTGGCACTGTCTCACTCAGAAATTTGTCATGACTGGCATCAATATTTGTCACAATGGGTGCAGTTTGGGGGTAAGAATCTGTGAAATGCACTGTGATAATTTTCTGTTCTTTTTTATTTTTAAATAGTTGTCATAGCCCAAGGATTTGGAGGGTTGTGATCTGCAGATTTGAAAACACTGGGTTAGAAGCTTTCAGCTTTTGCACAGATGCTGCATATGGTTTCCTGCTGGTATTAGTTTCCTATTGCTGCTGTAACAAACTACCACGAACTTAATGGCTTAAAATGACACATTCCCTTACAGTTCTATAGGTCAGGAATCTGACATGAGTCCTCCTGGGCTGCATTCCTCTCTGGAGGGTCTTGGGAAGGACTCACTTCCTTGCTTATCAAGGCTTTCACAGAATTCAATTCCCTGTTGTTGTTGGATTGAGGTCTCCACTTCCTTGCTGGATGTCATCTCAGGCTACCCTTAGCTCCCAGAGACCTCTCTCCGGTCCATACACACACACACACCCTGCAGCTCAGAGCCAGTAACAGGGCACTGAATCTTTCTCTTTGTCCGTTCTTGCATTTGTCCCACTGCAACTTGGAAAGTTTCCGCACTTTTAAGGACTCGTGCGATTAGATTGTGCCCACTTAGATAATCTCCCCATCTCAACCTCCATACCCTTAGTCACATCAACAAAGTTACTTTTTCCATGTAAAGTAACATTTACAGATTCCAGAGATTAGAGCATAGAAAATATTGGGACTATTAGTCTCCCGACTGCACTAACTTCTAGGCATGTGCTTACCTATGTACATTTTATTGATAACAAAGCTTTGGATTGCTGAACGTAAGTATTTATCATCCCTGAGGAGGTTTTAGATGCAGGGCTTTTGGGAACATGAACCTTATAAGTTCCATCTGGTGCTTTCTCCATAGACCTCAGAAAGCCATTTGCTTTTCCAGAAGGTGTTTAACACTGATACATAAATCTGCATACACACAAAAGCACACAGGACTCACATTTAGGTGGAAACTCAGAATAATATTAAAGATAAAAAGGAAACATGGAATGTCAGCTCATCGATTGTACCAGATATGCTACACTGATGAGGGATGTTGAGGGTAGGGGAGTATATATGTGTGGGTGGGGAGGGCTATGTGGGAACTCTGTATTTTCTGCTCAATTCTGCTGTAAACCTGAAACTGCTCTAAAAAAAAAAAGTCTATTAAAAGAAAAAAGTTCTCATCATAAGGAAAAAAACTGTAACTATGTATGGTGGTGGGCATTAACAAGACTTACTGTGGGTATCATTTCACATTATAAACATATGATTGAATCATTATATTGTATACCTGAAACTAATATCATGTTATATGTCAATTATATCTCAATAAAAATTTTTTAAAAAGAAACATGGAAAAACAATCAGGTCCTGCTGTATAGCCCAGGGAACTATATTTAATAATTTGCAATAACCTGTAATGAAAAAATATGAAAAAGAATGCATATATATATATGTATAACTGAATCACTATACTGTAGAGCAGAAATTAACACAACATTGTAAATCAGCTATGCTTCAATTAAAAAACAAAAGATTTTGGAGGCTTGAGCCGTGGGCACTACAAAGGGTACAGGAGGTACCTCCACAGCTGACACAGGATGGCCTGCGGCCTCGGGGAAGATGCTTTGGGAGCAGGATCAGGAAGCATTCAGGACACCGGGACCCTAAATGAGCCTGGGCAGCAGCACAGGGGCAGTTCAGTCCAGGCTGGCGCTGGAGGTACCACCCAGGCCACATTCAGGAAGATTAATGAAATTTCTGCTGTGGAATAGTGGTAGGAGGTCCTTCCATGCTCTCCAGCCAATGTACTGCTGCTTTATTTTACTTCTGTGTAAACCAAGACTTTGCCCCATCACAGAAGATCCAGAAACTGCATATCTTCCACACTGCTCA